CATTATCCCGATAAACACCCAACAAAGCCATGTTATTACGTTGATCGAAATGGGTGTTTTTACAGTCAAACATGTTCAAGCAATCACCTCCATTCAGCAACCACCCCGTTATCCACCCTGGAACAGCCCTTTGAGTGTGCATTCACACACCAATAAACCCTTAATCAGAGACCACCCTTACATAATGGCCACTTTGGCACAGTTCCTTGAGAGGTTGATGAAGACAGGTTTGACTATTTTTGACTACTTCAAGGATTCACATGATTTGATTTCAGTGAACTGAATCTGTGGTGTTAGTAGCAAGTTTCTTGTAGTTCATAAAGATAGAGAAAGTTAAGTATAATGGGAGGAGTGAATAAAAACAGTCAGACAATTTCATGACTAATTCCGGGTAGTGGTATTTACACTCCATAGCAAAATGAGGCAGTTATGTTTCGACAACATAATAAGGCTATATCAAATGCGAAGAATTCTTATTATATATAATTATATATACATACACACACACATAAAATATAACACTTATTGTTCATGTCAAATCACTCTTCAAAACCAAATTTGTTGACCGGACAAATGAAAGGATATATTGTGAGTTACAACACAAATTAGAGACTAAGGAGCAGTTCATGTATAAAGGGTTAATGACAAGAGATCTATCACAATGTCCATTCTGAGCAGACATGCAACAGCTGGTTGGAACTCTTTATCCTTTAAACGTTTTCCTTGAGGATCAAGCTGCACTCACATTGATTATCATGAAACAACATTCAAGGAGGCAGAACTAGATGGCGATGAAGCTTAGATGACTATATCTCTTTTGAGTTATACAGAATGTGAAAGGATAAATCATAAAGATCCAGGAGTAATAATAGGGAATTTATTTACCTGTCGATCAGGAGCATTCTTTGAATAAATTCCTCCAGGGCAACAGGAATTTGATTTCAAACTTTTTTTCCAAATAGAAACAAATCACATTTGCAACTGCACAAGCATCCTAATGTGCAGAAGGATAAGAAAATCGTTAAGACCAGTGCAAGACAGGCGAAGACTAGATTGAAACATTTTCCACCTGCTGTGGCTGGCAGTTTGGTTGATTGAATAGATACCATACCTTGTTTTTTGATTGATGAAATTAAAAATCATACTGTAATGTTGTCAAGGAAGAATTTGAAGAATGGCCGAAGGGGAACCATTAGAGTTCAAGCAAACAGATTTTATTTACAACAATGTCATACACAAACACACAGATCCTTTAAGGGGACAAACAAACCAAATTATGCATGGTTGTAAAACAGCACTGCACCAGGGGTTAGCGTGCTCTAGACTACCCTTGCCTCCTGTTAATTCCAGTTCAACTATGCTACCACCAAGTGCAGTATGTTTTCCCAATTTTGCCATAACCTACATTGCATCAATTATGAGCACATGAACTTTACTCAGTCAACCAGTGATTCTGGATGGAGACCAACCTGAAGTCACCTGTAGGTAGTGATGAATTAGTGCTTTGAGAGTCTTCTGCTTCCGATGGTAGGGATTCTTCAGCATATAATGTTGATACATTGATACTCACTGAGCTCCTGAAAAGGCCTCAGACTCTTTGTGGTATTGTAGTTGCTGTCAGATGCTGATCTATTCTATCCCCAATGAATACACCAAAAAGATGGCTCTTGCTGGGACTTTTATGAGTCCTAGCCTCCTCCCTTTAAGCCCATCTCACCCTCATTGGTCAGCAACCACCAGACTTGGCTCCATCCTCTTTGGAGTAAAACCATGTGGTGCACAAAATGGCTGCCTTTATCTACAAAAAGCTACTGTGCTCGAACAACAACAAAATTACATTTGTATAGCACCTTTCACGTTGGGAGGACATCCCAAGGCGCTGGAAACATCAATTACTCGCAAAGTGCTTAGAGACATTTCAATGTTACAGGTCCTACAAAATGCATGGATTATTGTTATAATGGCTTAATGGAAATACATGTTGGTTGAAGGTCATATTGACTGACTTAGCCCACCAAATGAAATTGTGCTCACAACTAATGTTGAACTTTAAAAAAAAATTCCATATATTTTCCATCAGAAATTTCTCTAGAGCAGGGGTTCTCAAACTTTGTCACAATGAGCCTTCCTTGGACAACAAAAAAAACAATTGTGCCTCCCTACAGTTCACCAAGATAACACACAGAACTGAAAATCCCATACTCTGCAGGAATATGAGCAACAAAGTAGAAGGGCTCCAGTCAATAACAGTTACAAGAATATGAGAGTCAAAAGCACTAATTCTGCTTCACAAAGCACCCTCCTTGCTATCCCACGGTTCTGCCGAAAGAGTACAAATCACAGCAGCCAAAACAAAACTACACAAACACTCCAGGATAGCACAATACAAAACAACTACAGACCGTGTCAGGACATTATCCATCAGTCCCATCCCACCAGTAGGAAGAGTGAGATTGTCTCACTTTACAAAGTAGTGGAATAGAGGGTTGCAATTTAGAACAGTTGAAGTGGGGTTAGGCTGTCGTGGGAAATGCCTTTGCGAGGCCAGGCCATCGGGAGTGGCTAATTTTAGTAGAAAACGCTTTACATACACTCACAATACAGGTAAATGTACTTCACATGTATGTTTATATGGATATTTCCTTAACAAACATCTACTTAACAAACATCTACCACCACTCAGTGCAAAACTTTTTTTTTTGCAGTCTTTCTCTTTCACCAACGTTAAGCTTAGTTAACGTTTAGTTAAGCTTCTAGATTTATGTCCAGCAGTTGCGAGCAGTACTTTGACTTCATCAGTCATGGCAAAGGGTAAGGAGCATCCAACCATGTTCTGGATGGAGAGCAGGGGTGGATCTTCTCTTTATTTTTCTTTGGCGAGATGTGCCAGATCCAGAGGTTTCACCCATGCTACACAGCATTTTAGCAGATAACCAATAAGCAGTAACCAAAGAAGTAAAGCACACATAATGATTAAAATACACTCGCACACATTGCTTTTTGCCTTACTATTTTACCAACAAGTGTACAAAAAGGTCAAAGTTCATGAGTATTGAGATCATATGCCCAATGACGGTGTCTATTAATCATTTTTATTTACTAATCCAAAGTGCAATTTAGCCACATCTGGATTCCCAATTCACCACATGTGGCTAGTGGCAAATGTATTGGATAACCCTGCTCTTGAGTAATTAAATCATAGTTGTTTAGGTATCACCTGTGACAAAATGTCATCGACCTGAAATGTTAATTCACTTTCCTCTCCCCATAGATGGTACCTAACCTGCTGAGTTCACCCGGGGAATTCTGTTTTTATTTCAAACCATAGCTGTATTGGCTCGATATAGTCAGACCCACAAACCAAATTTTCATAATATGAATTTGAACTTTTGCAAATTATTTGCAGTGCAAGTAAAATATAAATTTTAGGTAACATTGTGCCTGTCTGTGTCATGATTTGTCAGTCGGCCTTTTGATGAAAAATTAGAGATCTGTTGGGTGATAACACTTCACCTCGTACTGGCTAACTCAATTTAATAACAGAATGTGTTACTTAGTAACGTAGAAGAGAGCATGCAGGTCAATTCTGAAAAGTAGCTTTTTTAAAAAGTTCTCTCCATCTATTATCCCTTTTCTCCTCACTCTGGCTGGCATCGATCCTGAATTGATATCAGAAACCCAGGCTAGGGCTCGCTTGTTCCCACAAGGTTTTGTAATTGCTTGGATCATTCTTCAAAATTAGAAGCATCTGATGATTTCAATTCTAAATACAAGATTGTGCAAGATATCAAGCAGATCTACCCTGGCTTTTTGGATCAGGAGTAAGCAGTTGAGTTATCAGAACATTTGGTCCACCCTTATCATCACTCAGGCCTTGTCAATAGGTGCATCTCCCAGTCATCTAAATAAACGTTCTTCCAACGTGGAAGGCGTTATATAAACGTAATTTGTTGGTAATAAAAAGGTAAAAGGAAAGGAACACACTTACAGGCTAATTTTTCTTAATATTACTGCAATATGTGGATCTTTGTGGTATCCATTTCTAAAGTGTAACCCAGTTTTCTCAGAATGTTCAATGTGTTAAGAGTAACTACTCAATTAGTACTAGTACTCAAAATCTGCTGTTCCATCTACGTTGGTTTGAGTTCACATCACAATCCCAAATAGCTGATCTAAACATTTCCCATCCCAGAATAAGATGGCTTGCTTATTGTGATGCTTGCTTTTTAATGAATAAGTAAAACTGGGAGACGGTAGTTTTATATTAATTTGCCAGTGATAGATTGGTAGACATAGGCATTAAATGTGTAGTTTAAAGTCATATTATAATTTTGAGTACCATGATCTAAAAATTGCCCAAACATTAGTTAAAGCAAAAGATCAGCTTTGTAGGTATAAACCTGTTGTCTAAAATTTGTACTGGAATGGGTAAAGCATAAATCACTTTTAAAATAGAAAACTACTTCCCAGTTAAAACTCCAGTAATTAACTCCTGAAAAAAAAACCTTTTGATTAATAATCTTTCAAACATTGTTCAGCAGGTACTCAAAAGCAAACAGTCACATTTTAATTATTTAAATTAGATTAGATATTTCAAATTCATCGTGTGAAATGTCATCATATATAAACATTCACATTTGCTTTTCTAGTCACTATAGAAGCAAGATCACAACTCTTCTTAAAACAAATTCTGAATCAGAGCAAGGTGTTTTTACCTGGGAGTTGGGGAGGGAAGAGGCAGAGAGAGGAAAAAGAGAGATGAAAAGGGAATTCAGGTAGCAGACAACTAAGTTCTATGCTGAAATATAAAAACATGAATCTCTCTGTACTTGCTCTGTGAAGTATGGTTTCTGAGCTTGTTTGGCATCTACTATACAAGCACCATATTCACCATGGATGATTCCACATTCATGGGGAACTTATTGGATTAGACCTTCATACTGTTCATTTAGAAAATCCAATGAACAATTAAATGAAATAGCATCAGCAATACAACTTCATGTAGAGAAACTTTGGGGAGTTTTTTTATTAAGGTAAATCCAGCAAAAATTCTGACAGGAAGTGGGTACACACAGCCATCTGCCCTTTAAAAGATGTTCATTTTCCATTAGAAACTAGTTTTACATGATTTGCAAAGATTTTCTTTACAAAAATGACAAATCAAAAATTAAAATATTTTTCACATCAGATTTCCAGGCCCCATGTGTTTATTTCTTTTCACCAAAATATTTTACCTGGTTACAAAACTAATCCACAAAACCACTGGAATGTTTTTGACATAGACAACAACTTTCTGCTTATTCTTCCCCAATTGTAGTAGCCTAACACCAAAAAAAAAACCCCGGTGAATTAAAATATCAGACCTTTGAAAATGACACAAGACAGACATTTTGACAGAAGTCAATTAACTACCACCATTTACTTGTCCCACGTACCACACTAGCTACAACAATCACAAAATGTTAAAACAATGATTCTTTAGGGTTTTCATACCCCCAAATAATCTTGAGATGTGGGTGTTTCCATAATTAAATTCATGCTAAAAAAAACCTTGTATTTATAAAATAGTTGATAAAAATATTCCTCTCTGTTAACAATACAGTATGGAGGTATGGATGCCATTGATGGAGATGACAGGCAGATGCAGTTACTCTGTCTTGGCTTCTTTCTCTTCACTGCTTTCAGCAGACTGTGCCTAGAACATAAATGGCAATTGAAAGAACTAAAATGTTACAGATAGAAACAAAACATTACACAGAAACTTTTTAGAAGTGTTGTCTTCAAGAGTCATTGTTAGTACTTACAACTGCCAAACTACCAGCTTAGTTTACAACACATTTTATTGTTTGAATATTTTTGTTATGTTCTTACTTCTTATGTTCCTATTTTTCCTTTAGGAAATAACATTATGGAATATAGTACATAGATAGTTCGGGACATATACGCAAGTGACCACCAGGAAGGTGAACTAGATGGAGCTTGGTCNTTTTTCGTCTAGCAAATCTTATGTCTGTGCATCATATCACTCAAATCTGTCTCCTATGTGAAATTATGATTGTTTTTAAAAGAAACCGAAAAGTAAACTTTAGACAAAAATAACAGTTTTAACAGGTGTACAATTTATTCTTCTGCCTTAAAGCAAAAAGCCTCACTTAGAAACTTAAGTGAGGATTGTAAATACTGTGAAATCCACCTGAAATTTATATTGCTACCCAAAAGACTCATTCACCAAAATGTATTTGTTAATTATTAAAATACAGATAACCATTTCTTAAACAACCCATATGTTGTTATGCTTATCTAGAGTAAATAAAACACTGCAGTGTAAAAATGTAAATAGACCAGCTAAAAACTAGTAAAAAAGGTTAAATAATGGCTGATCTGAAAAAAGATACATTTCCATGACATAAGACAATTAAACAATTCAAGTTGTAGTGTAATTAAAACATAAAATGCAGATAACCAGATAGTATTCACAAAGATAGGAAAAATAAAAGCCAGCAGGAAAACAAGCATTCTAATCGTTCCAAAGCACTGACTGGCAGATATAGCAAATTATAAATGAGTCTACTTTATCAGCTGAACAGAATTATAGATATTTTTCAATTTATTTTTGGGAGGGGGATTATTTTATGATTAAACAAAAAACAAAAGTGGAAAGTGGACCCAATAATAATCTCAAACTATTCAAATAGTAAAAATAAATAAATAAAATAACTGCATATACTGAGTCTCAAGAGATCATGAGAAAACAGGGTTAAGAGACAAGCTGCCAAGTTAAGAGGATTACTTTTCAGCGTTACATTTACCTCATCATTTTTGGCTTCTCCATTTTCAGAGGGAGTTTCTTCCTTTGTATCCTCCTGATTAGTCTCCTCCTTGCCCTTCGCTCCCTTTTTTCCTTTTGCTGGTGCTTTTTTATTATCCTCCTTCTTGTCATTGGCTGCCTTCTCTTTCTGTTAAAATAGATCCAGCACGTTACAGCCAGTCTAAATGACAGTGCAAAAAGAGTAGAATAACAACACTTTGGATTATAGCACCTTTCATGTAGGGAGAATGTCAGAAAGCGATTCCAAAGACGCAGGTTTTGGAAGACAGTTCCAGAGAATGGGGACAAAGAGTTTGAAAACTTCTTCTTCAAACACATGAACTGGGTAAGGGGAATGGAGCAGTCCAGACTGATATGAATAAGTTGTGTTATAAAAAATATAGTTCCAATGAAAATTCCTCCCAAAAGGGACATAAATAACTGCACTGTAGTAGTAATTAATGTGAAGATTGTGAACTTCATGGATAAGATCCAAGCAAGTTGGTGATGCAGAACACGGATTGATAACCTGGAGAACTACCAGAATCTTGGTTGAAGAAAGAGCAAGAATCAAGCAACTTAAAAACTTTCAAACAAAACTGATGACCGTGAGAACTTTTGATATTACTTGCCTTTTTGTTATGATCACAACTCATTTTACACATGTTTGGCAGGCTCTCTTGGATCACCTAATGGATCCCAGGACTGTGTGCTCCAAGACGCTGTCCGGCATGAAGGGCATTATATAAATGCAAGTTGTTGTGTGTATAGCATGCTGTACAAAAGACCTCCTTTACACAAAGTGCACTTCATGGTCACAAATTCTACTTAAATAATATTTTTATAATATATCACCCTCTTCATGAGTTCAAGGTTAAATCCCATAGGAATGATGAAAAAGACTTGACTAAAGTCTCTTCACATCTCAAATCACCCAGCACCCAGTAAAGATGATTTTTTAATATTTAGAGGGGCTAATTCTAATTCCACAAGGCTACATACTTTGCCTCAAGGTAATTCACTGCAATCTAACACCTTTACACCTAAGCGCACCTTTAAATCAAACACCATGTGCCAATTTATTTCAATTCACTCTTGCCTTAGATCAGAAGGCTGTGGATAAAGCTCTATGTTGAAACATTCCAGGACAGTTCTGCATTGTCAGAAGAGACATAAAACCAAAGATCTGTTGAGATGGATTTTAACAATCCCATGGCATTTTTGAAAAGGGAGTTTCTCCCAGTATCCTGAACAATGCACCAGATTAAATAGTCATTCACCTCATAGCAGGTTGTGAAGTGTTGCTGATACATATGGTTGCACTACACTTTAAATCACTTTAATTTTGATACGATAAAAAAAAACTTACTTTATACTAAGTTATTTATTTTTATTCAAGTGTGTGAAACAAGAATTTTAATTAGCACAAACTTCCCATTAATCTGACTAGATTCACTCTCTTTATTAAAAGTTTATTGTATAATCCTGATCTTTTAGTAAGTAAACATTCAACCCAACTCGAGATGATGTTTGGTCTGTCAGTTTTAAAGATACTATATTACTTTATTCCCACCACAATGCCTTTAAATATAAAAATGCCTGAAGAGTAGCCATTATTTGTTTCATTCCACACATTTGAGTTTGGAATGAGTGTATTCTCTGCATTCCAGCTCTGGCTGATTTTAAAGAAGTGGAATTTGTTCCTTGAGGAATATGAGGCATCCTCTTCATATTAGCCATTGAGTCGTTTTGCAGGTAAAATCCATATCCAGTCAAAGCTATGAAGAATCTAAGTAGAAGTATCCAGAAAGCAGATAACATCTTCCTATTATCTGAAAAAACCTGCTGATCTCAACCCTTCAGCTGCTGGAGAGAATTTTATGAATGATTGTGTCATAAATTAGACCAATTCTGAATCTATCCATACTTCCCCATTTATGATAAAGTAGCTTACCCGGTTTTCTAAATGGTCCTCACTGGGGATGAATATTCTATGTTAGTATTCTGTTTTCAGTCAATATAAGTAGTAACTTTGCTTCAGAATAGCAAGCTCAAGTCTGCCAAAATTCCTTCAAGTGTGCCCTTATTTTTTATGGCAAAAGAATTGTTACTAGTACCATTTCCACAAATTCAACCATTGTGAACTGATTTAAGAGAAGCAAATTATTCCTGTATAGCAAGCCAAATCTGTACAACAACTGCATAAATGCAAGGGTTATTAAAGTCCAGTCCACAAATTCAGATAGCCACACTAACTCTAATTTATCCTTCTGAAAATGATCCATCAGAATCTAGTTATTTTGCAATTCTATCCCCCTTTTCTGGAAAAGGGGAAGGGAAAAGAAAAAACTGCTGGTAAACTGCAAGGTTCACATAGAAGCAAAACTAAAGAAAATTACAAGATTTGGATGAATACTTCCTCAGTAGTGAGTAGAGATGGCATTAGAGAAGGGGAAAGCTCTTAACGGCCTAATAAAACATAGAAGTTTTGCGAAAAAAATACAAGCCAATGGTCATGAATTAGTGCTATTTATTCAAACCTGTTCAGAAACTTGAAACTCAAATACAGATAAATCATAATAATGTAAAGCAAGCCTTGTGTAACAAAACAAAAGCACACAATTTGTGCCAAACACTTTTTTCATGAAAAGTATAGAACTACAAAAGTGAAGTCTCACTTACTTTAGTTGGTGCCTTCTTTTGTTTGGGCTCTGGTTTTGGGGGAGAAGGTTTCTGCAATAATGCAAAGATGCACATAATCAATGTTCTGCCATTCAATCTAGATCTTGATGAAATTAAATACAACAGTAATAAAGATACTTACAGCTGACAACCTTGCCGACCTTCTTTTTGGCTTCAGAAAAGAAAAATAAATGTCAATCTTATAACTGCTTAAAGTGCAATCCACATTTACATTAGAAATGACTTGCAATAACTCATATTTTTAGTCTCATTGAAAAATAAAAATCAATTCACAAACCTCATCTTTTAAATCTGTTTCACCCTGGAAAAACAAAACAAGAAACAATTACATTGGTTAGAGATGTCAATTGAATTAACAATGTGAAAAGACAAAATCCATAAACTTTTCCAGATATTTCACCAGACAATGTAATTTGGAACCACAACTTAGTTCGAGTATTATAGGAATCCAACTCCTGCTTTGACCTGTTAGGATAGTGTCTTGATTATTAACCCCAAGTGATTTTACGTTATTCGTGAAAATGCTTAGCAGAATTTATCCTCAAGTCCAAGTTAATGTAGTACCCGTTAACATGAATTAATATATCAAACTTAATCCTTTATTCAGTCATTTGAATTTTTATTTTAAAGCGCAGTTCAAAGTCAAGTCTAAAATCAAAAAGCTGAACTAACCACATACTGAGAGCATGGAAAGTGACAAAAGATCATTCATTTTCAAAAGATTTAATCACACCAAACATCCCCAATATGTAGAGATATATCATTTTAAAAAAAGGCTGCACATCAATTGACCAACAAAGAGTAAGAGCGTCAGGACGTCCCAAGGCGCTGAAATCACACGTACAGTGTTTCATTTTTTGAAACATAAGTTTAATCTCAGTCCATGTGTTTATTGGTAGAAGGAGCCTAAGTAAAATCTGTTCAAGCAGTCAAACGTTGGTCCTCAGATCCAAGCGAACGCAAGTACATTACAACTTTGCATGCAAGTACATTACAAATTTGCACTGACTTGACAACCTTACCCAGGAAAGTCAAAGAGAAGTGTGTACCTGTATTGACTTCATATTAATTACCGCCTAAACAATAATAATAAAAAAACTATAGCACTAACATTCCTCACCTTAGTAAAGACAAGGTAGTACAGAACTCACCACTAGAGCAACAACCTAAAGGGGCAACTAAATACAACTTACTAGGACGTCAACATCAACACAAGTTAAAAATATGCAGCACCTCAAAGACTTCCAATCACAACATTTCATAGTTTTATGGCTGGACAGGATTAGCAGCCACAAAGTAACGTCATACGTATAACTAAGGCAAGTCCTCAAACCATCACCCCCTACCAGTTAAATCAGGGAGTACAGAGCTAAGCCCCTAAAAAATCTTCCCAAAGATGTATTGTGGTAGATATAGCACCATTTTTACAAGCATATCTGATCATATGCATTAAGTAATTTGTAATCTATGTAATGTGATGCTGCAATCATCTATTGCCAACCTTAATAGGGTTTGTCAGTGAGTTGGAGCCTTGTAAATAAATTTTAAGTGAATTCCTATCAAATACTGATGTCATCTTAGCTTTATTTTCCTTAATAACTAGATGCTACTCTTCTACGTTAAAACATTCAGCATTTACAAATACATAACGTATCTCTTGATAACATGAAAATAATAAGCTGTCCGCGCACACTCGTGGCTCAAAATCTTGACTTTCCAATCTATTCACGAGAATTTGTACGAAAGCGTTTGTGACAGGACATGGCTCGAGAAGGTACATTGCGTTCGCCCACAAATATACAGTCAATTCACTTTACAGTGTGTTCTGTGAAGCGCTTTGGGACGTCCTCCCGACGTGAAAAGCGCCATATCAAATGCAAGGATTATTATTATTATTGGAAAGGAAAGTATGAAGCAAACAACAATTTGGTGGCAATCCCGACCCCCCCCCCCACCCCCAAAAAAAAAACAATAACTTGGGTCTCGTCAAATCCACGACTGTTCGCGGGGACACCGCTGTGCGTGATCGGCCGCCGCGTTTCGCCCGCAAAACACACAGCCAATTCACTTCACGGTCGATTCCGCGAAGCGCTTTTGAGGCGCCTTCACGACGCGATAAGGCGCCCTACGGGGTCACTATTATTTTAACAACAGAGATTTTGTGGGGTGTGGGGGAAAAGGGGGTGGGTGGGGAGATGACCTGAACTGAACGCACTGCGCGCACTTGCACGTTACATCCACCGGTGCGGATCTCCACAGCGGCAGCGAGCGCCTCACGCACGGGAACGTGAGGGCGCGCGTGAGACTGGCGGCCGATGACGTCGCACGTACTTTCAAGCTTCCCGCCGTTTTTTTTCGCACGAGAGAGAGAAGGCGGGGGGGGGGGAGTGTGGGGTGGGAGTGAACCTCCCAATTCGTAAGAGATAACGGTCGCTGGGGCTCGAGCGCGGGACGCCCGTCACAAGCGCGACCAGCGAAGGCTGAGCCGCCGCCGAGCCCGACACTCGGTTTGGAATCAGATCTCAAAACCGTTGGAAGCCGTCGCTCCCGCAAACCTTCACATTTACACCCAACAAAAAAAAATTAAACCACAACAGCCTGACATCTCGTGCAAATCATTCGCCGCCTTCGCCCCCCCCCCCCACCCCGAGGCGTCTTCAATAACCCGTCCCGAGTGCGCAGCGGTTTTATGTTTCAGGTAACGGGGAAAGATGGGGATGGCGGTGGCGGAAAGATGGCTCCGCCGGAGCGGACCTCTTCTTTTCTGCTGAACGCGGGTTCCACTCCTGGAACCGAGTCTTTTTTTTTAAAAAAAAACCCACACATTTATAAACGTCTTCTTATTATTTTTTTTTAAAAAAAACAACAAATCAATTTCCCGCTCTCTCTCGCCGCCTTTTTTTCTCCTCCGTCGACCCCCCCCCCCGTCCCCCCACTCCGCGGCCACTTGCCCCCTAACGGCGGGAATCGGGAAGTGCGCCGACATCTGGCGCTTAAATAAAACAAGTCGGCGGCGGCGGCGGCAGCAGCGACGACGACGACTGGGGGGTGGGTGGGGGGGGGGGAGAGAGAGAGGGAGAACAAAGAAACGAGGGCTCTTTTTCTCTTTCGCCTCCACTCCGCAGCCGCTTGTAACAGCCCCCCTCCATCCTCTTCCTCCCCCCCCCCTCTCTCTCTCTCTCTCTCCCCCCCCCCCTCCCTCCACCCACAGAATAAAACATCATGGCGCGGGGGAGCGCGCCGTAGCCGAGCAAATTTTTTTTTCTTAAGCTGTGCGTTTTTGTGGCGTCTTGGATCGCGCCCGTGGGACACGGCGGCGGTGGTGGTGGTGGTGATGATGGTGGTGGTGGTTGTTGTGTCCGGCATGGACGTGGGGGAGAGAGAGAGAGAGACGCACACACACGCACGCACGCAGCAGCCACCTTTACTAAACTAACTAACTAACAGGAGAGGCAGAGGCAGAGGGAGGGGGAGGGAAAGAAAAGAACAGCAAACAGCACCAGCAGCAGCAGCAATGTCAGTCGATGCTTCTTCCTTCACTCCTCTCGCTCTCTCTCTCTCTCCTCTCTCAACTTTAAACACGACAACTGTCGGCGCTGATTTTCTTTTACGTACCTTTCTCTTGGGCATGGTTACTTGATGGATCCCCCCAAATAAAAAAAAATGTACAAAAAAAAATAAAAGTGGGGGGGGAAAAAAAACCGAGCGACGTCTGTTTCCTTACAAACGGTTAATAATAAAACCACAGTTTTTTTTTCCCCCTTTTCCCCCCTTTTTGCACACACTAAAATACCACCAATGGCCAGTCCCAGAAATCACACACTGGGAAGCCAACAACCAAACGTGCTGGCTGGGGGGGGGGCTGCTGGCCTGATGGACGCGGCTGCCGGCCAATCGCTCGCCGCTACCCGGCGGGCTATTGGCAAACGGGAGCCGCCGCGTCCAATCAGAGTGGGGGGCGGGGCTGAGGCGGAGGGGGCGGGGCTGAGGCCCCCGCGCGGCCCCAGCATGTTAGTGTGAGAGGCGATTGTGCTGAAAACAAACCAATGCCGATCCGTTGCTTGATGTGATTTTTTTTTGGAAAAGGTGGAGGGCGGCGGGGGAGGGGGGGGGGGAATATATTTGTTTAATTTATTGTTATTCATCGTGGGCGGTGGGTGGGTCGTCGGTGCAAAAAATAGTGGGGGTTCGAGGTTGGGTGTGGGGGAGGAGAGGGGGTTCGTGGCAGATCTCCTGGAGGACGCGATCATCTTTGACCAACAACTGTGGAATTTTTTTCTCTCTCTCTCTCTCTCTCTCCCTCTCCACTCCCCCGCGCGCTAAAAAAAAAGAGAGAGAGAGAGAGGAAAATACACAATAATTCACCGTAAATTACACGTTAAAATATGTTAATCTGCCCAAACCGGTTCGAACCAGATCTGATTAAGGGCTAATCCCCGGTCGTGGTTGGATATGACCGGGTCACGTGATCGCCCAAAATATCGATGACCCTTGACCGTCAAGAGAGGGACTTAATATAAATCCAGTTATTAAAATAATTCATCTTGCATTAACGTTGCCAATTGCAACGGGGTTGAAGCAACCCCCCCCCCCCCCCCACCACCACCCCTTTTTTTGCATCAACACAATAAACCCCACCACCACCACCACCCAATTGGGATAACAATTCCATTTTCTACCATTTCCTTCTTTTTATAGATTATGTATATATATATATATATATATTTATATATATTATTGCATTTATATTAAAAAAATCCCCCCAAATGTATCTTTCAATGCCAAATGCTAAGGGTCGCTCATTTAATTAGTTTTTTTCTGAATCGAAACAGACTGGAAGAAATTGCAACCTCTCTGCACGAACGTTTCACACTGTACCAAGCTAGCAATTTTTTTTTCTGTGCCCCCCCCCCCCCCCCCCACCACCCACCACCTGCCCCCTCCCCCAAGTTGTTGCAGCCCTATTTATTCTTTTATTATAAAACTTCTTTTTTTCTCTCTACGACCAGCAGCAAATGCAAGAGCATTGCATTGCACAGTGTATTGTGGCTGAGACTTAAAAGTTGATGGCTTTTTTTTTGGGGGGGGGGGGGGTGGGTAGTGGGGGTGAGGAAGCTCCATATTTATTTCACCAGTGTATAAGCCTCGAAAGGGATTGGTCCTTCTACTCACTCCTTTGATTTTTTTTGGGGGGGGGGGTGAAAATTTTTAAATCATTAAATTTGAAGCACACACACAAGCAAAAAAAAAACCACACGTATCGAGAGAGAGAGACAAAAAAAAATAAAAGTCTGCTCAGGTTTATTTCTTTTTGTTAAAAAGAGAGAGAGTGCCCCTGCGGATATTCTTTAGGTGGGGGGGGTGGAAAAAAATACATTTGTCTGAATATCCTTCTAGTGATGGCCACAAGTCACTAACGACAGCGCAATCCAGAATCTCAGGCTCTACCATTGGAAATGTATGTCCTTTGGGATAAGATGGGGGGGAGAGGGGAGGGGGAAATCACCCTGAAATCTCCACAAATCTCCCCCCATATATATATATATATAAACGTAACAAATGTATGACCTGCACCAGGCTGACCACAGCAGGGACTCACTCACTCACTCACTCACTATTGCGCGGTGCTCCTCACATTAGTCCCAAGAATAAACTAATGGAGAGGATGTTCTCTTATGACTCGGTTTACATAGCGCGCAACATCTGATTTAACGCCGCGGTAACACGGACCCGAATGATCTCCAAAGGGGTCTTCAACACACACACACAACGCACTCGCACACAAAACATATCGAAACGATAGGCTGGTGGGGTGGAGTGGGATTACACAGAGATAACTCCAGTGGCAACTCAGCGCATCGATTATACTCAGTGTCATTGCCTGAGCGTCAACGGGTTATTGATCAGAGCGCTATCCCGGGTCAGTCGGGTGGAGAGGGAATCCGGGTTTAAGAGGCAAAAGGGGGATCTGTGGGATTCTTGAACAGTTGGACCTCAATGTGAGTTTAATGGTATTTCTCCCTTTTCCCGACTTTCTTGCAAATGGGACTGGAACCGTTTGCATTCCAGACAGACCAGAGGTGTGGGGAGGGAGTGGGGTCGGGGGTTGTCGCACCTTCTTTAAAATCAGCCTCGTAAACCTTCTTTTGATCTGGAGAAAGAGCTCAGCCCATCCCCTTCCCTCCGCCAGAGAAGAAAACAAAGTCATCGTGAATTGATGGTTACTGTTAAAAAAAAAGCTTTCTCGCAGTGTCATTTTTAATAGGGTTACAACGCTTTAGTAACTTCTCATTCGAGATGAATTATTCTCCAGTTTCCATCAGTTTGAAGAGGTGGGACAGTAATATTTTCCACCTTTCATTTAGTGGACTGAAGAGTTAACTGAAGACTTTTGAAAACAGCATCCAACTTTTTCATGTAAATAGTCTGTCTACGAACTAATAGTCATTTGCTGCCTTGATGGCTCAACAGGTAAATAGTACACAATCCTAAGCGAGTCAGACCAGCGAGGTAAGAAAATTAAACTTGGTCTGCGCTTAGTGAATTGATCTCAGTTTGGAGCAGTAAGGAAAGGGTTCCTATAATTTGCCCCATTATCCTCAAATAGGGATGGGCAATATTTCCATCCTTGATCATTATTCAGTGATCTTTACTGGAATGTGTGAGAATGGGTGTTGTCTGACCACAAAAACACACTTTCCACTGAAACACCTGGCTATCAAATCACGATAACGTTTTCAAGTTCAAGACTAAATTTGATACCTCATTATCCTTTAACAAATGTAGTGACATACCTGGCTATACTTAGGTCCTGAACCTTTATATCAGCCAGCTGGTAAGAAAGAGTACTTATTGTGAGAAGCTTAGTTTGCACTCATTCACAAAACCTGCTTTCTTTCCATTAACAAACATGTAAAATGCATACATGGTAGTGAACAAAAATAATAATCCTTGTATTTGCATTCCTTGTAAGACATCTCAAAGTGGTTCTGAGGAATTACAATGAAATCTAATGACTGTATTTTATAAGTGAACACAGTGGCTAATTTACCTTCAGCAATATACCACAAACAACTATAATGTGAATGATCAACCTTATCTGGAGGATTGTTGGCAAGGACACATGAGAAATACTCTGAACATCAGAAACTCTTTACTATAATAATAATAATCCTTGCATTTGATATAGCGCTTTTCACGTCTTCTAGACGTCTCAAAGCGCTTCGCAGAATATACTGTAAAGTGAATTGACAGTACATTTTTGTGGGTGAACGCGACAGCCAATTGCACACAGCAGTGTCCCACAAACAGTTGTAGATTGAAAATGACCAATTTATTATTGTTTTTTTTTGAGGGATTATTATCAGGCGTACAAAGTAAGGAAACTTGCCCAAGGTTTCGCCCGGCCTGGAATTGAACTCAGGTCTCTCGCTTACAAAGCGAGTGCTCTAACCATTGAGCTACAGGACTCCACAACTATCCATTTGAAAAGGCAGAATTCACAGAAAGCCAAGGAATTATCCTAATAAGATCTCACTGACTTTGCAGTATCCCTATTTGTCAAAATAAGCAGTTATTTGTACTGTATAATATTTTGTTCAAATCGCTACAATTTTATGAATTATTATGACAATATTTAAATAGAAGTGTTTAGGATTTAGCAATTGGATGTGAGATTATGCATCAAGTTACATGTTTCTAGAGAGAATGGTTGCTTTTAGTAATTCAGTTTGATGATTATAATAAGACTAATGCTTTGCACTACATTTTGAATCAAAATAATAAATGCCTTCATTGTCACCCCTGAGAATCCTTTCAATTTTCATTGACATGAATTAGATCTATAATGCTCTTATATTTGGTAAATGCCGGAAAACATAAATGGTATTGTAATGCTGGGGGTCAGCATTGCTCTGTTATTTACTGAACATCAGGATTTTCAATGAGTAATATTAAAGATACAGCATGATTATTTATATGCCTAATGTACTTGTACATTTAACTAGTTACATGGTGTTCATAATTATACATCTTACAAATTCTCACTTCAACAGGGATTTTACTAATAAAATGTAATTGACTCAGGAATAAGGTAAATTCAGCAAAAGTGATTTATTCAAAAGTTTACTATTAAAACCTTGTCATATTATATTATGTAATATTAAAGAAGATTTCAAATGATAGATTTTGAAATAATGTTTTACCCTATTTCTTCAATATAGTGGGAGCCCAAAATGATGAGACTGAATCAATAAGACTGGGTGCAATTAAAAGCTAAAATATCACATTACGAATTTTCACTGCAAGTTGACGATAAGTTTATTAAATACAACAACAACAACAACAAGATTCCATTTATAGAATGCCTTTCACGTCAGGAGGACGTCCCAAGGCAAACACATGGAGCAATTATCCCCAAATTGGATAAATGAAAACCTGATTAGAGGCTAGAACAATTGGGAGTTTCTGTAACACAGATTGTTTCGGTCACTTTAATATCTATCCTATGTACTCCAGCCACATGCCTAAAGGAAATTAACCAGGACCAGAGGGTGGCAATGTATTATAACATTGCCTCACACAATATGGTACTGAAACTCTCATCCATGTTTTTGTCACCTTCTGCATTCACTTCATAAATGAGTTCCTCACTATACTCCTCAGCTTCTACCATCCACAAGGTTCAGGTAATCCAAAACTCACCTGTCCACCTCCTCTCCCACACCAAACTCTGTAAGCCCATTACCCAATCTTCACCAGCCTCCCATTCGCTCCCTGTATATGAACAGATAGACTGCAGGGTTCTCACCCTCACAGACAAGTCTCCAACCCTAACTCTAGCACCTC